AGAAAGTGCACATCAGTGCTCTAAAGGTGACGGGCGGAATCGCTGATCAGGCCTGGCACATCTGTCGCCCGCCGCCCGCGCTCCCCACCATCTGCTCTCACGGGCATCCCCCTAGCAGCTCCTGGCCTCCAGCTCCAAAAGTCGTCCATCCATCTTTCCTACTTCCCTCCTGACACCTTCCCTCCCTCTGGACCTGTCCCCAGCCCCCGCCCCCTTCCCTGTCACCAGCCACCTTGTTAGGTCACGAGCCAGCACCCTGCCCTGTGGCCCAGCAGCTGCTTCTCACCACTGGCTGGGGCATCCAGGAGAGTCTGGTGGCTGGCACAGTACCCAACACATGATGGCCCTCCATTCGCCCACCTCTGCATTTAATTCTCGCATCTATTCCTCAGGTCCCTTTTTGCCCACCCAGAGAGATGTCCTGTGTGCTAAACTATTGTAGATATCAGGATTTATCCGTGAACCAATGACACCCAGAGCTCCGAGTAGCTGGAAAGCAGAGGTCACCGTCACTGAGACAGAGAGACTGAAGTTGGGAAAGAGGAAAGATCATTATTTCCAAGTTGAACATGTTAAGTTGCGATTCTCTTGGTCAACCCAGAGGACTTGCTGGGTAGGAAACTGGCTGTACAATCGGGACGCCAAGGAAGGCCACGCTGGAGGCTGAGAGATGGGAGCTGTCAGCCTGTAAATGGAACTGAGAGCCCTGAGACCGGAGGAGGGCAGGGGAGAGGGAGTGTAGACCGAGGGCCAGGGGCGGAGTCCTGACAGCTGACATGGAGAAGCCAGAGGAGAGGAGAGGCCTGCTTAGGAGACTGAGGATGGAGGTCAGTGAGGTGGGGGAGGGAGAGAATGTGGCGTCCTGGGAGTCACAGAAGAGAGCAAAGGGAGATTCTTTCACTTGCCTTTCACTCACCAGGCCTCCAGCCAGCTCCCCCTGCAGGCACGCCCTCAGCAAGCTTTGATGCCTCCTGCATTACAGGCCTGTCCCTGGTCCTCAAGGGTGGCATGGGGTATCTTCTTTGGGGTAGGAAGAGACAGACATATTCAAGCAGCAGGGTCAGTGCTGAGTGGCCTGCAGGCCTTATTGAAATAGCGCTCAACCGCTGTGTTGCGAAGGTGCCCGCAGCCTCTTCAGCACCGGTTCAATCCCTGGCCACCGGGCAAGGGTCCCACATGGCGCGCAGACCTCTCCTGCCGCCCGCTGCTCCCCTCAGCAGTGTACTTCGGTCCTTCTGCCTGCTCTGCTCCCCGCTCTGGCTCTGTGAATTCTCTCACCCTCCCGCGCTTCTGACTGTACCCAGTGCTTGTATAAATAAATAAATAAATATTTTTAAAAAAATGAAATAATAGCTCTAGGAAGAGAGAGAATTTGCATTTCCAGCAAGTTTCTAGGAGCTAGACCTCTCTCCTACTGCCGGTCCAGGGACCTCTCTTTGAGAACCAGCGTGATAGAGAGAGGAACACCACCCCCCAAGCGGGCCTGGAGCTCTCTAGGAAGGGCTCCTGCAAGAAACTCCAAGAGCAGGGGTGAGAGGTCAAGGACAGGGACATCTGTCACTTCCCCAGCCCCATCTGCCCCTCAACTGCCCCCTTCACACCTCCCCCACCCCAGCACCTAGAGATCTCCTGGGATGCCTCTGTCCATGGGGCTGAGGATGGAGACCTCAGAGGTTGGCGTCAACCCTCAACACCCCATGAAATCTCAACGCTGCTCTGCCTGCCCTCACCCCAGCGGCGGCCTAGCCTCCGTGCACCTGCTTCCCCAGGTGGGCAGCTCACTGTCTTTCCTGATGGCCACTTCAGCACTGGCTGTAAAAAGGCTTTTTTTGCACAGAAATCTCAGGAAACTTGCACCTAAGACTTGCACCGGGCTGGCTCTGCAGGGGTGGGAGGGGGACAGAACGCCCTGGCGGGGCTCGGCCCTCACTCAGCCCCCTTCTGTCTCCCGCTAGTGCTGGTGCTGCTGATCCTCACGCTCAGGCGCCACCACAAGAGCCACCTGAGCTCGGAGGAGGACGAGGACATGCGGGACAATGTCATCAAATACAACGACGAGGGCGGCGGCGAGCAGGACACCGAGGCCTACGACATGTCGGCGCTGCGGAGCCTCTACGACTTCGGCGAGCTCAAGGGGGGCGACGCGGGCGGCGGCGGGGACGCGGGGGGCAGCCCCCCGGCCCCGGGGCTGCCCTCGGAGCGCCACGCGCTGCCGCAGGGGCCGCCGAGCCCCGAGCTGGACTTCTCGGTGTTCAGGGACTTCATCCGCCGCAAGGTGGCGCTGGCGGACGCGGACCTGTCGGTGCCGCCCTACGACGCCTTCCAGACCTACGCCTTCGAGGGCGCGGGCTCGCCGGCCGCCTCGCTCAGCTCGCTGCACAGCGGCTCGTCGGGCTCCGAGCAGGACTTCGCGTACCTGCGCGGCTGGGGCCCGCGGTTCCGGCCCCTGGCCGCGCTCTACGCCGGCCCCCGCGCGGACGACGAGGCCGAGGCCTCCTAGCCCCGCCGACGGCGCGTCCGCCCGCCCCACCCGGACCCGAGGGCGCCGAGGACAAAGCCTTCCCCCTGCTCGCCCCTGCCCCGAGGCTCCCACACTCCCAGGGCGACCGCACGGACGGACGGGAGGGGGTTCTGGGAGGGGTGCACTGCCCGGGGCCACCCCCCAGCCCCCCCAGTGCGGGGTGGGCTGCTCCGGCCCAGAGGTGCGGAATTTATGGCCGACGTCATTAAAGCTGCAGAGAACGGGCGCTGCGTGGCTCTGGGGCCTGGAGGGAGCCAGGGCGGCGTGGCTGTGGGGAGACGCGGTGGGCTTCGCACACCTGCCTTGGCGGGAGGATGCGGCTGTCCCCCGTGAGAGTGCAGAGGACGGCAGGGCTGATCATTTACTAAGTGCCTACTGTGTGCTGGGACACTGGACGGGACATCTTAGTCACCACAGAACCCGTGAGGTGGCACGCCGGGTAAAGGAGGGAGAAAGCCACCCAGAGAAGTGGCCGTGGCCTGGCCCAGGACACCCGGCCAGTGAACCCAGGAGCTTCTGGCACCTCCCCACTGCCTGGGCTCCGGCAAGTCACCTCACTTCTCTGGGCCTCAGTTTCCTCGTCTGTCAAATGAGGTTAATAACAGAACCTACCTCAAAGAGTTGAGAGGCTACAAAAGGGTTCGTGTGTGTGCAGTGATTGGGACAGTGCCTGGCACATAGTAGGTGTTCAATAAATGTTAGAGCCCCTGATGCTGCCAGTATCTTTGTCGTTTTTAGAAGAATAACTGCCTCCCAGGCAGGAGCTCTTTGCCTTCCCCAGTTGTCCTTGCCTTTTCCCCAACATTGCCAAGGGAGGAGGCAGGGGTCCCGGATAGAGGTCCTGCTCCTGCAAGAGGACAGGAGGGTTTCCAGCAGCTGTGTGGCCTCCTGGAGTTTTAGGCAACACTAGGGTAGGGCACCTGGCAGGAGTGCCAGGAGAAGCAGGGCTGGGCGACTCTGGACCTGGTTGAGAGGGAAGGGTTGGTGGGAGACAGAAAGGTCAGAAGCCACTGAGCATGATGGAGACCTCATCTGTCTGAGCCCAGCACTCGTCAGCCTCCCCGTCTGTGAACTTGAAGTTGAGAACCTCAGGGCTAAGTCACTTCTAAGAGCCTCCTGCTCTAAAACCATGATTGTAAGATAATAGCTTATTTGTTCTTCCGCCCCTAACCCCCAGAGATCCATTCATTCCACATTGACCAGCTGTAAATTCCAATTCCCACTAGTTGGGCCTCCTCCATCCAGGCCTTCAACTCCTGAAGCCTCAGTTTCCTCATCTGTAAAATGGGGCTAGAACACTCCCTCCCTTAAAGGGTTTGTCAAGAGGCTTAAAGGAGAGCCTCCCCTGGTGGCGCAGCGGTTGAGCGCTGGGCTGCGAGGCTGCCCGCAGCCTCTGCAGCGCCGGTTCGTTCCCTGGCCACCAGCGAGGGTCCCACAAAAAAAAAAAAAAAAAAAAAAGAGGCTTAAAAGAGATACTGAATGTTTAGCTCTGATCCCAGTGCCTTCCTGACACACAAAAGTGCTCAATAAATGCTCGTTAGCCTTATTTGTTTACCCTCCCAGGGATCATTCATTCATTCCCTCCACATCACCAAGATCCACTGTCACAGATCCAGAGGTGATCATTATGTCCTCAGTGCCTTATCTGTATTATTTCATCTAAGATACTATCAGCCTCAGTTTGCAGATGAGGAAACAGACTCAGAATGGTGTAACCCATCCAAAAGTCACGCAGATCATAAGTCGTAACTTCTAGTAACTCAAAGCTTGACTTAGGATCATGGGCAGAGGCAGAAACACCCAATAAAAATGGATTTGGTAAGAGTTATGGCAGAATTAACAAAACACCCTGGAAACTGAAGATGAAATAATTCCTGGAAGGCTTCCCAGAGGAGGTGACTCCACATGGATCTTTTTTTTTTTTTTTGTGGGACCCTCACTGGTGGCCGGGGATTGAACTGGCGCTGCAGAGGCTGCGGGCAGCCTCGCAACCCAGCGCTCAACCGCTGCGCCACCTGGGGAGGCCCTGCACATGGATCTTGAAGCATGAGTATGAGATTTATGAGATGCAAGCAGGAGCCTTCCAAGCAGAAGGAAGAGCATCTGCAAAGCCTGGGGGCGGGGAAGAGGCAAGAAGTATGGTGTGTGGTCCCAGAAGATGGATCCCAAGGTGGAGGAGTCACAGTGAGATATGAGGCAGGAAAGGCTGGTTGGAGGAAGCTGAAAAAAGATCTTGAAAGCCAGGCCAAGGAACTTCATGCTGCTCAACTTGAATGTGTCTTGGGAGGTCCACCGAAGGTGACTCATGGTAGGGATATGAGGTTAGTGGGGTCAACCCAAATGGGGATATTGGGATCTTCAACTCATTCCATGTAGGGCCCATAAGTCATGGTTCCTGTTTCCATGCTACAAATGGGTATGTAAGTTGGGTACCAGTGGGGGGAATGTGTGATCCATTCTCTCGCCCATGTGTGCCCAAGTCTCACATACAGCATCCCAGCAACAACTGTGAAGTTCGTTAATGCCATTTTCACTGAAGACGGGGATACGACCCAGAGGAGTGAAGTGACTGGCTCAAGGTCACCCGTCGGTACTGGACAGAGTCGGGACCACACAGGGCCCCTGATTCCCAGTCTCTGTTCCTTCCACACACACCAGTTGCCTTGACAGATTCTGATGCGGGCCAAGCAGGAAATCGCAGGCAGATTACACGTCTGCAGGGGAAACCATGGCGTCACCAGAACCCTAGAATATTTTGTCCAAACATAGGGAATGACTTCCCCAAGGCCGCAGCGTTAAAGATCTTGCCCAAAATAGAGCATTCTTTTTCCAGAGTTAACTTTGGAGCCTCTGGCTCCACCGTTTGCCAGCAAGGTGACTTTGGACAAGTGACTTACCCTCCCTGTGACTCTGCTTTCTTCCCCGCGCAGTGCCACACTCAGAACACCTACCCTGTAGCATCGTAGGACAAAACGCAGCAATAATGACTAACACTGAGCATTTCCCCGGTGCCAGGCATGGATCTGAGCCCCTTACATGAGCTCACTCATTTCACCTCACGACAGCCTGATGACGCAGCCCTCGATTTACAGGTGAGGAAACTGAGGCACAAAGAGGTTTGGTAACTTGCCCCAGGTCAAACTTCTGCTGAGTGGCGATGCCGTGACTTAACGGGGCCACTCTGGCCCCTGAAGCTGCGCTGTCAGCAGCACACACCATCCTCCAGCTGTGGGTATCCTCAGGCCTCCCCATAATTTCTGCCAAGTCCAGAGCGGGTTGTGGAGGGGAAGCCATGGTTCCCTCCACTCCCTGTGCTTCCAGTTACTGCATCCGCACAGCCGTCCCCACTAGTCTAGCCCCAGATGGGAGTGAGAGCCAATGAGCTCAGCCCCTTGCTGGGCTCCACCGGGGGCCCATGAATGCCAAGCCTGTTGTGAGCTTGCACATTTTTCTGATGACGGAGGTCACAGACAAGGGTCTCACTGTGGAGTGGACATCCTCTGGCCGTCTGTCTTCTTGGCTCCCCTAGGCTCCCCCCAGAGTTGCAAATTCTCTCCCTGGTCACGCACAGAGCACTGCCACCCAAGCACCAGGCTCTCGCTGGGCACACCGCCTCTGTCCAGGGGCACAAAGAGCCTCCATTTACCATGCTGCCCTCCTTGTGAGGCATCAGGGGAAACAAAAAGAAAAACTTCCCTTTTTATTGTCATCATCGTCATCCCTGTCACCATGAGATAAAAGAGCATTCTGGTCACAGAATTGATGTCTAATTGGCCAAGAATTTTAGAAGCGGGATGTTAATGACAATGATGTTGGTGGTGGTGGCGGTGGCGGGGGTGCGTTCACAGATGCTGGCTGTGTGCCAGGCTCCGCTGAGCCCTGTGCGTGAGTGTTACTGACACAGGTAACACCCATGAGGGATGGACTCTGGTTTCCCTGTGTCTAGTGCTTTACGGGTGCTGCCCGGCTTACTTCCCAGCAGCCGTACTCATCAGCCCCCTTGTAGGGAAGAGGGACCCAGTGGTCACAGATGAGGGGGCCTTGCTCACAGATGCTAAGCTTGGAAGGACCTGGAACCATTTCAATGCCCCATAATGAGCCTGCACAGAACCGGGACCACTCAATTCTGAATGGAGTTTCCGGGGGAATGTGGGGAGACGAAAGAAGCATTTGGAGGAGAGGGGAGGCCCTGGAGACAGATGGCCAAGCAGGGGCACAAGCTGGAGGTGGAGCCGAGGCCTCGGTCCATGCCTGGGTCTCTGCGTCTGGTATGCATCGCTGTGTGTGTCTGCATGTGGCTCTGGACAGGCACGAGGAAGGGGGAAGGCAGTGCTGAGCGCAGAGGTCAACAACTAACCTCCCACCTCCTGATTCAGGCGGCTCAGCGAGCTGGCTGCTGTCATAGGGGGCGGCTAAGCGCCGCATCCGTCAGCCAGCCGTCATCGCTGCCCACCCCCGGGTCACGAATCAGCAGCTCCACTTACCTCCTGCCAGCCAGAGCTCTCAGGCCAGCTCTGTCACTGGCCGCCCAGCCTTCGGAAAATGGAACCCTGTCAGCCCTCGCTCGGAGGCGGGTGCTCTCTGCTTCAGTGCATGCACATGACTGAGCAAGCATGCCCACCTATCATGCCAGCACAGGGCACGTGCACGTGTGCAGCCTCGGCCATCTCCCTGAGTGTGTGCACAATGCAGACAGTGCACGCACACAGCCGTGCACCCAGCATCTCCCTGCAGCTCTGCCACTGCAGCACGCCCAGGGTGGACCGGAGCACATGTGCACACACATGTACGTAGAGAGCACAAACATGCCTTCCATAGGTGTGTTCTCTTTAATCTATTTTCCCATTCAGGCATGCTCTCACACACATCCACAACATCTGTGTTCCCAGGTTCCCTCAATCAGTCCACAGTGCACATGTGTGCATCTTCCAGTGTATTTGTGCACATGAATTCCTAGCTCCTTGCCTGCCGTTCATAAT